AGAAGAGGTGGTGGACTTAGAAGAGGAAGAAGAAGAACTCTCTCTCTCTCTCAGTCCAGTACTAACCTGTGAAGTTGGCGCCTTGATGCAGGTATCACGAAGATGGAGCTGGAGTGATGGCGCCACAGGTAAGTATCGCTGGCCTCCGCCAGCATCTCTCTCCCATATCACTACTACAACTACTACTACAGCGCCCAGCGCTGAAGACTACCACTAGCGCTAGCTACCCTGGGCAGCGCTCCTCCGAGTGCTGCTCCGCTATCCTGAAGACTACACCTGACTACTGACTGATTACCTACCCCGGAAGTGCATGGGAACTGCCTATGAACTACCGGGGTGCCTCCTGACTGCAGGCGAGCAGTCCAGGAGGCTGCTCTTGCCAATGTTGATCGGAGGCAGGGGCTGCAGCTGCAGCTCCTGCTCGAGTACGTGAGGAACAGGCTATTTTGGGCCTGTTCCGCATCTCTGTTTCCGTGCCTGAGTCTTAGGGGCAGGTCGAAACAATGAGGGCCTGAAAATGACCCTCCGTTTCAGGCTGAAAAGTCTGGGTCTGAAAAGACCCAGAAATAGGCTGAAACGGGGTAGGGCCTGCAGGCCCTCGTTTTTCAGCTTCCAGGCTGAAACGAACGGGGCCTGTAAGCCCTAAGTTCTAGGCTTTAAGGCTGAATGTCCGGGACGGGCCCTGCAGGGCCCGTGTGGCTACGCATTATGCCACACCCCCCCCTCCTTGAAGAACCGAGCTTACCTGCGAGGGCGAAGCTGTCTGTCTAAGGGAGGGACCACAGTCCGGGTGGGAGGGGCTGGTCGTCAAGCTTCCTGAGCTAACCTCCGCTTTTCATAATGCGCGTAGATCAGCGGTCCGGATGCTTTCAAATCTGCGCCTGAWATCCACCGAGTGTCATCGTGATTGCATGCTTTGAATGTGACTTTGTACTGCCGCGGCTTGCTGCCGTACTTGCGATCGGTGATGACGCGGTCAACTTCCTGATGACCATCCATAGAAGGAGGGTCCTGCGATCGTCGGCCCGGAAAGCCGTCGCTCTTGGCTGGCGTGTATGTTGCCAGCTTCGAGGCGTGGAAGACCGGATGGACCGTCAGATGCTCAGGGATGTTGATCACAAATGAAGGGTCATCGGGCTCATCGTCCGCGGCTGCTGTCACAGACCAAGGTCCAAACCACTTGGGAAGCAGTTTGCGTGAAACATCCTGTTCCAGTGCAAACTCTTCCGCGGAGACCCAAACCAGATCACCGGCGCGGATGGGACATGGTACGCGACGCCTGTCGGCTTGCTGCTGCATGCAGACTTCAACCTTTTGCATATTTGCGTAGGCTTGAGTCAGCAATTCCCTGTTCTTCCGGACGGAAGCGGGAGAGCAGGCAGCGTCAATGTCGGCTGGTCGAGGGAGGAGAAGATCGGCGAAGATACGGCCTTTCCGTCCACCGTGATGCAACTCCAATGGAGTCACGCCGATCGCCGGGTGCACCGAAGTGTTGTAGGCGAACTCGATGTCGGGGAGGCGGTCAATCCAATCTTTCTGGTCCGGACGGATGAGCGTATGAAGCATCATTTAAGCGGTTTGATGTGCCCGCTCTGTCTGCCCGTCTGTCTCAGGATGTCGAGCCGAACTTGGTTTCATTGTTGTGCCGGACTCCTGCATGAGAGCAGTCCAAAACGCCGATATGAAACGAGTGTTGCGGTCGCTGACAATGTCTTCTGGTACACCGTGGCATCAAATCCAGCCAGTGTGCGGTAGGTGTGCCAGCTCTGAAGCCGTGGAGTAGTACTTGCAAGGGAGAAAACGTGCGTACTTACTCAAACAGTCGACAACCGTGAGGATGCCGTCGTGCCCGAGCCGGTCGCGAGGAAACGGATTGGTGACGTCCATGGCAATGGAGAGACCGGGTTCCCGTGGGATAGGCATCGGGTGTAACTCGCCATAAGGATTGCGGTTGCGGGGTTTGCTGCGTCGGCAAACTTCGCACGAGTCGCAATACCGAGTGACATCGGTAATGAGGTCAGGCCATGGGAATCGCTGTCGAAGCCGTGCAATCGTGCGGTTAACTCTGAAATGGCCGGCGAGTCGTGAATCATGATACTCGCCGAGGAGGCGAGTCCGAAGACGATGGTCGCGTGGGACACATAGTAAGTCCTTGCTTCTCGAGTGGAGGAGCAACTACCCGTCAGCAATGCGGTAATGGCTGGCCGGCGGGTGATCCGAAGATAGCTGTGCATAGAGCGTGCCGAAGTYCGGATCAGACTGATATGCCCGGATGAAGTGTCGCTGAAGCTCCTCTTCGAATGCGAAGGCATGATGTGTCATAGCGCAAAGACCAGGTCTTCGCGAGACTGCATCTGCTGCGCGATTGGAGAGGCCGGGGACATGTTTCGGTGTGAAGTCAAATTGGTCGATGAAGTACATCCATTGTCCGATCGTGCTGCTCACCGTGTCCTGCGTCTTGTAGTAGGTCAATGGATTGTTGTCTGTGACCCATGTGAACCTACGACGCCCAAGGAGGAAGTGCCGCCAGCGCTTGAGAGCCATCACGAATGCGAGCAGCTCCTTCTTCCTTGCATCATCAAGCGAGTTGATGGGAGGCAGTTTGTGGCTGAAATACTCCACAGGGTGCCAGTCGTCGCCGTCGTGCTGTTCCAAGACTGCCCCAATGCCATAGCCGGAAGCGTCCGTAGTCACTCGCGTCGGCAGGGTGGGGTCATAAATGCTAAGGACGGGTGTCATGAGCATAGCCGTCTTAAGTGCTTGGAATGACCGGCGTGCGTCGTCATCGAATACGAATGGCACCTTTGGTGACTGTAACCTCGTCATAGGTGCAGCAATCCTGGAGTATCCGGTGATAAATCGTTGATAGTAGCCCACCAACCCCATGAATGAACGAACATCCGTGGTGTTGGTGGGCTCGGGCCATACTCGTAGGGCCTCGATCTTGTCCGCAAGCGGACGGATGCCTTGCGGCGTCACATAGTGTCCCAAGTACTCCAGCTCCTGCTGTGCGAACTCGGACTTGTCGCGGTTTGCTTTGTACTTGGCCTGTCGTAGCCGCTCCAAAACGGTGCGCAGGTGTTCCACATGCTCGTCCAGACTCCGGCTGTAGACCAGAATGTCGTCGAGGTATATAAGTACGAAACGATCCAACATGTGTCGGAACTCCGTCGTCATAGCCGCTTGGAAAGTGGCTGGGGCATTCGTAAGGCCAAATGGCATGACCAGCCATTCGAAATGCCCATACTGTGTCTTGAACGCGGTCTTGTAGCGATCCTCCTTGCGAATCGCGAGTTGGTGGTACCCTGACTTGAGATCCAGCTTAGAGAAGAACTGAGCGCCGCCCAGTCGCCCGAGAAGGTCGTCGATGCGTGGGAGAGGGTCGGCGTTCCTGATCGTCTGCGCATTGAGCTTGCGATAATCGATGCACAACCGCAGGTCCTTGTTCTTCTTCCGGACGAAGAGAACAGGGGCACCGTATGACGATAAGCTAGGCCGAATCCAGCCTTTCTCCGGAAGGTCGTCGAGTTGTGTCCGAAGCACACTTAACTCTTCCTCGCTCATTCGGTAGATGCAACTGCGCGGAGGTTCGGCCCCATCCTCGAGGATGATCTCGTGGCGGATGGACCGATCCGGTACTACGCCGTGCGGGCCTTCGAACACGTCGCTGTAGGCGTCGAGAAGTTCGGTGATGCGCGATCTCAAGATGAGTCCGTGGATGAAGCGTCTCGGGGCGGGAGGGCGTGGAGAAAACACACCCCCATCTCCTCGATGTCGTCCCTGATGATGGAAGCTCGCATGCTTGCGGCGGATACCACGTGGCAGTTGATCGAAGGATGAGGAAGATGCACCGTGCATGGAACTAATACTCCGTTCCGATCATGAATGTGAACGGTGCGTTTGAAGAAGTTCACCGGGTGATCCTCGCTTCACAGCCATGACATGCCCAAGATCATGTCAAATTTGGTGTCCAGAATGTCAAAGGACACCGCCTCACTTGTGTGAGGGGCAAAGTACACGGGGACGGCGTCAATGCACCGGTTGATTGACTTGTGCGTATGACCGTCTGCCAACGTGACTTGCGTAGGCTGGGACTTCCTCCGGACACGTGGGCCAAGGCTGCCGCGTACCATGAAGTACTAGCTGATGTAGTTGCGAGATGCTCCGCAATCGATCAAGGCACTGCAGGTCGCCTCTCCGATCTGAATGCGTACGTAGAGCAATGGTGCGTCGATGTCGTCGTACCGTTGCGTCTTGAACTCGCGGTCGATCTTCGCGATGTAAGCGTGAAGGTCGACAACCTCTGCTCCGGCGTCCATCAACGGAGCTGGTACTGCAGTGTGCAAGTAGTCCCACAATTGTGCCCTAAGCACGTCGCAATGCGGTTTCGACAATTGTCCGGTCGGGGGAACGGGCATCCACTGGAAGTCCGTGAACGTCAACGGGTCGAGCTCTTCAAGTCTTGACCATGACGTCAAATCCCCGGCGATAGATTGCGGCGAAGGTGTCGAATCGGTTGTCGATGGTGATGAAATCGTGCATGCGGTGGACTGTTGCACGTGGAGTGGTTGGTCCGGGGTCGCACATCCTCCTTGCCCTGATCCTGACACAGGGAGGTCTTCTGCTTGGTGTTGTTGCACCAATAGCAGCTGCCGTAGCGGCCGCGGACCTTGTACTCCGCCTCGGTCAAGCCGAACTTGACCCATGGGAGCTGTCCATTTCCGGCCTGCGATGCTGGTTTTGCCTTTCCATTGTTGCGGGACTTGTTGTTGCTTCGTGGCTGGACAACAGCCACCTGATCTCCGTCACCTGATGGTGGAGTGGCTGCTGGGTTATCTCCACTGTCCTGCTGGACTGCAGCTAAGTGCTGCTGTCGCGGACCAGTTCGTACCGTCTCCACATAGGTCGGCTGCCATGTTGATTTCTCGTGTGCACCTGACCTGTTGGTCTTGATGATCTCCCTCGCTTTGTCAATGATCTCCGCGAAGGTTGAGTACTGCTCGCGATCACCAAGAGCCTGGCTCAATGCAGCACAGGACCTGTTGTAGAACTCACGTCTGAGATGAGTGAAAGTCAGGTCCAGATTGGGCACTGCCGCAATCTTCTGCCACTCTGTGAGCCAATCCCGTGTTGCAGTGTTGCCCTGTGACATGGTGAACAAACGGTTGATGGCGAGTGTCGGCGCGTCGTTGACGATGAACCGCTTCTTCCACAGCCGTGTCAGTTCTTCCCATGTGATTTTGTCCTTCAAGTCTGATACGTCGACGCCGTGGGAGGTTGCCAGGTGGCTCAACCAGGTCTGGCATCCGCCCTTTGAGTTCAAGAACAGGGCGCCGATGTACGCATGCTTGGCTACGGGCAGAATCCTGAGTTGCGTTGTGAATGCTTCCCACCAGAGGACYGGATCCTGCTGCGTGTAGTCATCGAACCTCTCCAGGTTGAAAGTTGGCATCTTGTACATCTTCGGATTGCCGTCCGCGTTCGTCGACTGCAGCTGCTGGACCTCGGTCTTCAATGTATGCAGCTGACTGCTGATGGTGGTGGTCGGCGCAGCGAAGGTGCTAATGTCGCCGAGCATTGCCACTACGTGGTCAGCGCGTTCCCCCAGTTGGCGGCTAGAGGATGCACTGCTGGAAGCTCCAGCATCTGGTCCTGGTACAGCCTGTTCTTGGCCCAGTTCGCGGGCGTCCAATGCCCGTGTGGCATCCTCGTGCTGAGTCTTGTGATTCCGCACGGCCCGCTGAAGGTTTGCCAGCTCGGAGTGGAGGTGGTTACATGTGTAAACCAACCTGCTCACGAGCTTGGCCATAAGCTCCTTATGATGTTCTTCCGGTGTTGGCTCGTCGCCGTTCGGTTCAAAGTGCCAGTACTTGAGTTTCTCGATGCGGTTGGCTTCATGCCGCTGCAGCAGAGTCTGGGATTCCTTGCGGCGAGCCTGGGCATCTGCGTCTGCTTCGGCCTGTAGCCGCAGCTTCTCTGCTGTTGCCGCTTCATCAACCTGTAGCTGGGCAGCCTTGACTGCCAGCTGGCGTTGTTCCTCAGCCTCGATTGCAGCGAGCTAAGCACGGACAGGCTTTTTGTAGTCGGCAATGGGCTCATTGGCCAGTTGGCCTGGCAGGCCCGTCATGTTGCTGACGTGGCACTGCTGACGTGGCACTGTGTATGACGTGGCACTGCTGACATGGCACTGTGTCTGACGAGGCACTGTGACCTGGCACTGCTGACGTGGCACTGTGTCTAACGTGGCACTGCTGACGTGGCACTGTGTCTAACGTGGCACTGCTGACGTGGCACTGTGACCTGGCATTGATGACGTGGCACTGCTGATCTGGCACTGTGATGTGGCACTGCTGACGTGGCACTGTGAATTGGCACTGTGACGTGGCATTGCTGACGTGGCACTGCTGATCTGGCACTGCTGACGTGGCACTGTACCGAACCGGGATGCATGAAAGGGGTGGGTGGGAGGGAAAACGGAGGGAGGTAACCAACCCAACAATAATTTCCTCCGGCCCTAATCAACAAATAAAATAAAATAAAAAAATAAAAGAGGACTTCTTGCTTTTTTTTTTTTTTTTTTTTTTTTTTTGTATATCTGTCGATCTGTTATGCGTGAGACATGTTAGAAAAGTACGATCAACGAGATCTAGGCTAGGTTCGCAAAGCTTCGGCTTTTACCAACTGCAATCTTGAAAAAAAAATTTGCGAAATAGAGTAGAGATGCGATGTTCGGAAAAGGACTAAATCTCATTTCTTCGAATATGACAATCTGCTACTACGCCTAAAATGCCATGCTGATAGGCCCCGCAAGATTTCAGTTTTCAAAAAAAAATAAAAAAAATCGTGATAGGATGGAGATTCGATTTTCAGAACCGAGTAAATCGAGTTTCCGAGAATATGACCCTTCCTATCGTTATCCTATTTGCCTAGAGATCGAAATACGAAAGTCTGAGAATATGCAAATATCAGAAATTTCGGCTATGTATGCAAAACGTCAGAAAACGAAATGCTACTTTCAGAAAAGTTTGGATATTTGTTGCGAAAAAAAACGAAATGCAAATATCGGAATTTTCAAGTAGATCGTAATGTTAATATCACGAATTTCTGATAAAACGAAATGCGATTTTCAAAATTTTTCAGATATTTGTTACGTGAAAACGAAATACTAATATCGTAATTTTCAGAAAACAACTAAATGCGATTATCAGAAATTTCAGATATAACGAGATGCTATTATTACGAATTTTCAGATATGCGAAAGAAAGAAAAAAAAAAATTCAGAGATTTGACGCAGTCCTACTTCATTACTAATGAGTTCAATAGATCAATCAAGCTCGCTACTTGATTGAGCGGGTCCTCTGAATGAGAGGTCCGCTCCGATACCAAACTGTTGCATACTGTAACGTGCAGACTAGAACAAGAACCGACCTCTCAAAGCAACGTACAAGATGGCGCAAACGGAAGACTTAGATACCAATGATCCGATCAATCAATGTTGCAATGCAGTCCAGAACATACATCATCATCATCATCCCAGRGTGTGAAAGGGGTCTGGCGCTTCACACAGGAAGACTGCRCCAGCCCCACACATACACARACRWARATGAGGGGGGTTAGACGAAGAGGAGGGAAAGATGGGAATGTCRTMAAYACCAAGTCTTCGGCACAGGCCCAAATAGTCCCTTGTCAAGATGTCTGAATCCCAAATGTCGAGTCTGTATCCAATGTCGTCAAGTCTCAAGTCATATCTCTCTCTCGTAGTCCACAGATACTGAGAAGTAGGCAGCAAGAGGGAGAGAAGAGGTGGTGGACTTAGAAGAGGAAGAAGAAGAACTCTCTCTCTCTCTCAGTCCAGTACTAACCTGTGAAGTTGGCGCCTTGATGCAGGTATCACGAAGATGGAGCTGGAGCGATGGCGCCACAAGTAAGTACCGCTGGCCTCCGCCAGCATCTCTCTCCCATATCACTACTACAACTACTACTACAGCGCCCAGCGCTGAAGACTACAGCTATGGCGCCCAGCGCTGAAGAACAAATCAGAAACAAATCAGAAACAAAACTATGTTATGCAGAAAAATAAATCGAACAAAGTTTGTCTCAGTGTCACATCGATGGGGTTGGGTTTGAGTGAGGGTAGATGAAGGGAAGGCAGAGGGATCGTGGAAGTCTTCATGGAGGAACAGTCTTTCAAGGGAGGAAGGTGGGCATCGACTTCTTCGAATTCGGGTGCTGTTATTCAAAAAAACCATTGTGCGTACTTCCAGGGTAATCTCAACTGCTTATCATTTTGATTCCTTGGTACGGTTACATTCTATCGTCTGATTCTCGTTCTGTTTCAGTTGATCATCGGGTAGGACTTTGGTTTTGTATTGGTGATACCAGATGATTAGCAGCTTGGCGGAAGTTTTTTAGCTGAGGGATTTCCTATTGACACTAATCTGAGAGTTAACTGTTTGGTTCTTGATTGGTTTCTAACACTTCTCAGTGATAATTCGCATAACTGTTAAAATCCAGGAATGGTTTTCTGTTTAATAATCTCGTAATTTTGGTTTGAACGATTCTTGAACCTTGGGTTCTGGAATCAGCATCGAAAGTCCGTCTGGACATCCAAATTGATTTTTAATTTGTTTGATTTCTAATTTGTCTCTCTATTTGGTGTCTTAAAGTATCGTGAGTCAAGTTTTGGACATCTCAAATAGTCTCTAAATTTTGGTCTGGTGGTTTATATTTCATGAGTGGGGATCGAGGGACTTTCTAATTGATTCTAATTTTTAAAATTTTTAAAAGCTTTCAAAGTATTTTTCTATTTCAGAAAATTCATGGTTGTAAGCCCTAACTTTCTTGTCTGTGGATTGAGGGTTAGGGTTAGAAGGGCGGGGTGGGGTGACAATGGTCGGCTCTGGAGCAGTGAGTTCACGCTCTGTAACCAGGAGGAGCTTGAGACCATTGGAACTTGCTGAAGGAAGGCATAACTACCTTGCTCAACGTAGCCCTAACTTTTTAGTATGTGGATTGATGACTACGGTTAGAAGGGCGGGGTGCGGTGACAATGGTCGGCGTTGGAGCACTGAGTTCACGCTCTGTAACTAGGAGGAGCTTGAAACCATTGGAACTTGCTAAAGGAAGGCATAACTCCCTTGCTCAACGTAGCTGAAGCCGGGTTCTAGTTTGTGCTGCAAAGATTTGTCTGATTTTTGTATGAGTTTCTCAAATTTGTTTGAATTTCTGTAAGTTCGGGGAGGTTGGTTTGAGTAGGGTGTGCACGATGCAGAGGTAGATTGATGGCTAGGGTGGTAGGTGTGTAGAAGGGTGGGGTGGGGTGACAATGGTCGATGCTGGAGTAGTGAGTTCACGCTCTGTAACTAGGACCTTAAGACCATTGGAACTTGCTGAAGGAGGGCATAACTACTTCGCTCAACGTAGCTCTAGCCGGGGCAGTGACCCTGTAACCTGGGGGTTGTGCAGCTACGGAAGTTGTCGAGGAAGGATGACGCTTCCGATCTCCTAGAACAAGCTCGGTCGATCTCCTACAACAAGCTCGGGCAGTTGGTGTTGCTTTGTTACCCTAGCGCAGGGGGGTATGAGATCTTGCGCGTTCTGGCACGAGACTGAATGCCTGGGCATTAATCTTTCCTCTGCGATGTGGGGAAAGAGATGGTGGGAGGTATTTTTCAGTTTTAGTAGTTCCTTGTTTCTGATGACTTTTTCTGAATGTACTCGTTATGGGAGGTTGGGCCCGGTTCCCAGTTTGTGCCAATTAGTGAGGATATGGTTGTATCTATGGGACGTTGGACCCGGTTTCCAGCAGGTGCTGCTCCCCACCAATAGATGGAGCTTTTTTTCCAAAAAAAAAAAAAAAAAAAAAAGATTCTTTTAATTTCGTTACTAATATTTTAATCTTTTAATTTTTTTTTAACCCGGTCGGGCAAGTGGTCCTGAGTCACTCTAGTAACCTAGAAAAATCTGAATAGAATGCATATAAGTTGTATTAAAAAATTAATGTTATTGGAATAAAAAACATATGTGAGGTATTTGTATAGAACGCACCCTATGTGTTGTACTCATGTACAACGCATATGCATTCTGCTCAGGGAAAAAAGGTAACAACAATTTTTTCAAGGAGACCATGCCCAAGCTCAAATTAGAACATGTGCTCCATAACGCTCTCATTTCAACAAAAGCCAGATTGGCGACACAACTTTTACAAGCTCAAAACCTTGCTACTTAAACACAAACCATTTTAAGTATACATTCGAGATGTGTGGGTATACTCTCACACGGTCAAATATGAGATCAACACTGAGATTGAATGGTTCAAGTTCGTTCAATAATAGTTGTTATTCTTTCAAGCCAAAAAATGGAAAGAAAACTCACTAAAATTAGCTATAAAAAAACACTTAAAAAAAAAAAATCAACATGAACGGCAAGAAATCGGGATCATAGAGAAACTCTTCATACACATAATAGAAGAACCTAGGACAAAGATAGGATAAGTGGCAGATGATGGGTCGAGCCGCTCGGCTGCCCGAGACCTCCGGGAGAAGTCGCACAGTGTTCACTTTTTTCGGAGCAAGCTTCACTATGTGGAATCGACCAAAGAATCGTGGCGCTAGTTTACGTTGGCGAGCACATTTCCTCACCTACATGATGTCGCCTAATTTGTACTGGGGCTGAGGTCCAACGTTTCGATTTCAAGCCTCGTAACTCCGGACTTGTCGGCCTTGGGCCATTTCTATCATTCGCTATCTTTTCAAAGCCAAACGAGGAAGGGCTCGTTCCATCAGTTCTAAGTGTCGCTTGGCATTTTCATTAGCCATCACCCTTGTAGGTTGTCGACCCACCGTTTCGTCATTCAAGCTTGGCAGAGCTACGCAGGCTAGGCGATTGGTCCGTAATTGGAACGGGGACAAATCTGTGGACTCGTGAGGTGTCCCCGGATGAATGGTCAGAATGTGATCAACAACGTTGGGTCAGGGCCTCGTGTCCCTAACCGTGATATTCTGTCGTAGGGCGGTTTTCATCACTTGATTTATGTTTTCTACGAGGTCATTGATTGAGACATATGGGCAGCGGTGTTCTGAATGGAGACGCCATGTATGACTAGGATCCTCAAGACCTCCCCTCGCAACTCTACTCCATTGTCTGTTAAGATCTCCTCGGTATCTTGATGCATTCCGAGAAAACGGTTGGCGTGTCACACAATCTCCGCCATTTGTCCCGTTCTACATGGGTAGGCCTCGATCCATTTGGAAAAATTATCTACAAATACGGGCAAGACTGAATACTCACAGCTATTAGGGCCAGGGAAAATCACGATGTCTGCCTTGTCCATGCTAACCCTTTGGAACGACCGTTTAACTACAGTTGGAACGATGGATCTAGGCGGCTAGATCGACGTTTTGTAGGTCGAACAAACTGGGCAGTTTTTGACGATGAATTTAACATCGTTCCTAATATTGGACCAATACTTCTCATTTTTGTCAATGGCTGATTCCGTAATTCGGACAACGAAATGAACGGTTGTCTCTTCATGGGTCGTCGTCACCCACATAAAGGGGCAACCCTGTGGTACGGCTATCCAAAGACCACTGCTGTGTTTTTTTTGTTTTTATAGCCTCCTCTCGTTCCACCTATAA